CTTGTACCCCGGGTCCCATTTGACGTTCCACATTTAGGACATTTTTTAACTCCCCTGAGTGTGGCTCTGCCAAGACCAAGAATTTGAAATTGACTTTTAGGCATTTTATTTAAATATAATTTTTTTTGATACAAAATCACATAAGAAAAAATGTAAACAAAACTTAAAGGGGCGCCGTAACAATTACGCAAAATATAAACATTTTTTTTTTTTTTAAATTAAAGAGTATAAACTTTTGACTTTAACGTATTTCCTTTACATTCTTTTTTAATTAATACTTATAAAATCTAAAAAAAAAAAAATTTAAAAAAAAATTAATTTATTCCTTGTTTAAAATTTAATATTTTTTTTTTTTAAATAAAAACAATAAATAAATTTATTAAACTTTTGGACCATTTTAACAGGCAAGAATTATCGTCGTCTGCTTTTAAAATAATAAACAGTTGGTAAAACTGATCAGTTTTAAATAATAAATTATTATATTATTATTATATAAAAAAAATATCAATTACCGTTTTTTAATAAAAAAAAATAATATTTACAAAAAATATTTTAAGTAAAACTAGTAGATAGATGGTAGTAGATATAAATAGATGAACTAATGTTTTATAAATGATACCCTACGTAGAATTAATTGATTAATATATATATATATTATATTTTTGTTCTCGACGTGTTTTCAAAGTAAACAAATACCGAGAAAGTAAAATTGTATCAGTGATCAGAAAAATGTCTACAATTCAAAAAACAATGTTCAAATCAAGGCTACCCCCTTTAGCTCCCACAGCAAGGTTAGATTCTTAATTGAAATTTATTAAATAAATAAAATAAACAGTTGGTTAAATACGTTATAAATATAAAATTGTTATGAATAGGTTTAAAGAGTTTTATTATAATTAAATTTTTCATTAAAATTAATTAATTTGATTTTTTTTCTAAGGTTTGGCAAAAGAATGGCCATGAGAAAACATGATTATAAACCTGTTCAGTGGAATAAATATTTTGAAAAGTTTATCGATGTCGCTGTTGACAGTGGACAATTTAGGGTTTATTTATTAGGCTCTGAGGGACCAGTATTGTTTCTTTTACATGGTGGTGGTTTATCAGCATTAGGATGGTCATTATTTGCTGTAAATAATTTTTTATATATCATCCAAGTAGAATAATTTAATTAATTTATTCTTCAAAGTAAATTTTTTTTTTTTGTCGTTGTGGACAGGACTCGGTGACTAAAATTGTAAAATGCAGAGTTGTTGCATTGGATTTAAGAGGTCATGGAAGCACTAAAACAGATGATGAGTTTAATCTCTCAGCTGAAACATTATCAAAAGATATCGGTGGAATCATACAAGAACTGTATCAGGATGAATCGCCTCCGATTATATTAGTGGGTCATAGCATGGGTGGTGCTATTGCAATTCACACAGCTTACAATAATTATATATCATCGCTTATCGGTTTAGTCGTAATCGATGTTGTCGAAGGAACTGCAATGGATGCTCTTTCAAGCATGCAAAGTTTTCTAAGAGGAAGACCTAAAAGTTTTTCATCTTTGGAAAATGCAATCGAGTGGTGGTTAGTTTTTCTATTTATTATTATTATTATTATTCATCCATTTTAATTTGTTATGGTTAATATTAATAACTATTTAACCTAAAATCATATTTTTCCAGTGTTAGAAGTGGTCAAGTACGAAATGTAGAATCTGCCAAAGTTTCAATGCCTGGCCAAATTGTTAAGTAAGTGTTTTAAATTTAAAGTTAGTAAGAAAAGAAGAAGAAAAATGTACATGCAATTTTAAAATTTACATTAATAGCTGCGAGACTGGTGAGTTAGCCATTGAGGACATATCGAATGATGTGTGTAATTCGCAAACAAGTGGAACCATGCATTCAGTTCAATCTGTTTCGAATCCAGACAGAATTCTAGAAGAAAATGAAAATGAAGAAGTATTAGTAAATGATAAATTCAAAACTCCATTACAAGTAAATAAATATAGTTTCGAGTAGAAATGTTAATAATAATTTTAGTATTATTCGATTGAAAATTAAAAGTCATGTGAAAACCAATTAATAATAATAATAATAATTTGCGATTGTTTTATTCGGGTGCAGGACACGCCAAAAGCAAAATACAAATGGAGAATAGATTTATCGAAAACGGAATGTCATTGGCCGGGTTGGTTCAAAGGTCTTTCGAGTTTGTTTTTAAATTGTTCAGTACCGAAACTACTCATACTCGCCGGTATAGACACGCTCGATAGAGAATTAACGGTCGGACAAATGCAGGGAAAATTTCAAATGCAAGTTTTACCACAATGCGGTCACGCGGTTCACGAAGACGTACCGGAAAAAGTTGCCGAAATTTTAGCATCGTTCATGGTTCGATTTAAATTTGCAGAATCGACGAGCGATTTTCACAGGTACGCATCATTTTATTCATTAAACCCCTCCCCTCCTCCCTCCCCCTCTCAATTATTTAAAAAACTAATCAATTTTTGAATTTCTTTTCCAGGCCTTTTCCAGGATGTTGAAATCTTCGTTTTTTTTTTTTTTTTGGGGAGGGGGCGGAGAAACAAAAATTAACACGATGAATAATAATAATAATAATAATAATAATAATAATAATAATAATAATAATAATAACAATAATAATAAATTAACGTTCAAGTCTGTTTTACAAATGCCAAATGAAACAAAAATGGGGAAAAAAATTATTTTACAGTTTTTATAATAAAATAAAAAAAAGAAACGAATTTATTTATCAATAATAATAATAATAATAGCATTTATTTTAATTTATATTATTATTATTATTTCAAAAAAAGAAAAAAAAATTGTATATATATGTATAAGAAAAATGAGAGTTGTGTGAATAATAAATACTAATATAATTTAAAACGTATATATTATTATTATCATAAGTTTATTTTTTTTTTTATTAACAAACACCCGAATATAATAATAATAATAATAATAATAATAATAATAATAACAAATGTAAAAATGAATTGATTATTTATATTAATAATAATAATAATAATAATAAATATGTATATATATATTTTTCTCGTAACTTTGGTATAAGGGTAAAAATTTATTATTTTTAATTAAATAAATACGAATGAAAAATTTGATTGATGACGTAATTATTAATTAATTTGTACTTTTTTTTTCTTTTTTTTTTTTTTACGAATTCAAATCGTATTTAATAAAGACTAGAGATATCGTGAAATGTTTCACCGACGCATTTTTTCCATGCGGTAAATCCTCGCGCCTTAGGAAGAACCTAAAAAAAAAATTTTTTTTAAAAATAAATTTAAAGAAACAAACGTAAGACGTATGACGTCATTGAAAATTTATTTTGTTTTACGGTTTAAAATCAAAAAATTAATAAAACAAATAAATAATAATAATAATAATAGCATAACCCAATTAATAATTTTTACAAACCCAAAATTCTAATCATCATCATCATCATTATCATCATTTGAAAATTATTTCGCACGATTTTATATTAAATTAAATTATATTTCAATTGGAAAACGAAACACCCATCATCATCACCATCATTATTATTATCGAAAAGAAAAGTTTTCCTTTTTTAATATATATTATGTAATTAATTAATTAAAATATTCTCCGCGTGAAATCCGTACGTAAAATTTTATGCTGCGATAATAAATAATTTAATAATTTTATAAATAAATTATTTTCAAAACTTTTTCTCCCTCCCTCCCCCCCCCTGTTTCCCCCCCCCCCTCTCTCTCTCACTTCAATTCATCATTTTTTATATCCTTCGGGTGACAAACAATGACGGTCATTTTCAACTTAAAATAACCACATTAAAAAAATTTAAAAAAATGAAAAATTTGTAATCCATAAATAATTTTTTTATCAAAAATTTATTATTATTATTATTATTATTATTACTCGATTATTTTTTATTAATCCCATCGATTAATTATAAGAAAAAAAAAAAAATCGAGAAGATTCGACCTTGTACGTATACCCTCAAGATTTTTTCCCCCTCCTAATTAGATTTTAAGTTGAAAAATAATATCATCATCATTTCCCACCACAAATTTTTCCTTTTTTTTAATAATAATAATAAATTAATGTTATTACTACAACTACTACTACTACAACTACAACTAATAATAATAATAATAATAAAACTAATTGAAGCAACCGTACCGGCGGGAAGGGGAAAAGAAGGGAAAAAAAGTCAAATTACAGGACGTACAATGGCGTCAGGATGTGAGAAGAGAAAACCGGAAGTCGTGCCACCACATTTAAAAGAAGAAACCGTACCGGAAATCGCATTTTCAAAAATACCAACACCGATATTCGAGCGCATTTATTCCTGGAGAATCGAATAGAGGCCTGGAATAAATGCTCTACCTGACAAATACGTTAAAATAATAATAATGATAACAACTACCATAACAACAACCAACACCGATATTAATTATTATTATTATTATCATTACCCGAATTGATTTTTCATTATTTTTTTTTGGATGATGACGTTTATTAATTTGGAGTTTTCATTTCCTGTTTCACGCAAAATTTGAATGCGTCCCATCCTTCGTTTTTCGCGTAAGACTTGAAAATTAAAATTAAAATTAATTCAAAAATAAAAACAACAACAACAACAACAAACATTAGACAAACGACAAACAAACAAATCAAAAAAACGAAAAATTTCACTCTTTGATTCCCCTTTTGATTTACACACGTACCTTAAATCCTCGATGCAACCTTTCTTTCATTATAGCAATAAATTCTCTGTAACTCAAATGACCGTCGCCATCTTCGTCGAATATTGCAAAAACCGTGTGAATCATATGTCGGCTCAAACTTTTTCCCGTACATATTTTAACAGCTCTATAAAATTCATCTGAAAAAATAAAAATCGTTCCAGAAAATATTTTTTTCTGGAAAAATTCCCCCCCCCCAAAAAAAAAAAAAAAAAAAGAAAAATTCACCCTCAGATATTGGATGATCCGCCAGTGTGTACATTTTCATGGCGATTGCAAAATCTTCTAAATTATTTAAAAATTGACAAAATGCTTTAAATTCTTGAATCGTTATTCCTTTCTCCTCTTTAACTCTATCCAAAAGTCTATTAAGAAAACGATCGTACCTTAAAAAAAAAAAAACAATCTCAAAACCTGAACTTTGAAAAATTAATAACGTGGTAAGTGGCGCCGCCACGCGGATAAATTAACAACTATTAATTTGAATTTCTTTTCCGGAATGAACAACGCAAAAGTTCGTTACGACGATTCGAATTTGTTAACAAAAAATTAAGTAATTACTCGTCTGTATCCAGGTATGTGTAACGTAATAGAATTTTAGCAAAATCCACTTCGCTTATCGTTTTGTGACCTTTTGAAAATTCGTGAAATTCCAATTCCAAAACTTCCGACTGAAGGTTTTCCATAAATCTTCTAAAACCTTCGAATTTCAATTCGTCTTTTCCCTTCTTACCGAAAAAATGTACGATTAAAGTCGTGTCGACGGAATGACGCCTTTGTAAACCTTGTTCATCGTCTACGTAATCTTCTTGCGACGTCGAACTTTTACTTTTCGTGGCATCATTTGTATTATTATTATTATTTTTCGAATTTAAACCTCTTTTATCTTTCCACGATTGACTAAATATTTTTTCCATCTGAAAATAAAAACACTATCATTTTACAAACAACAAATCCCTCTACGTTCGATTCCCATAAGCATTTAAATTTTTTTTTTTTTTTTTTCGAATTTTAAAGAAAACAAACACAAAATCCAATTGAAAAAAAATGTCTAACCGAAGAAAAGCCGAAGACGATGATTTCATTTTTTATTTTTTTCCCCGATTAATTTACGATTAAATCAAATAAAACACACACGACACTGACATTTCGTGAAATCAGATTCCGCCATATTGGATTAAATAATTTATGCGTTTACGAATCCCGCGAAATCTTCGCTCCTCCCCCCTCCACTTCCCACAGCCTTTCAAGCACACGAAAAACAAAAACTTTGGTGAATGAACGCAGACGGAAGAAAAAAAATTGTGATTGGTCGACGGACGGAAGAGAAATAGCAGAAGACAAGAGAAAATGAAATTGTTATTATCTTGTAAACAAATAAAAAAAACGCTTTTAAATTAAAAAACGTTCTTTCATTTATTCATTTATTTATTTATTTTCTTATATAGACAACAAACAACACTTTATTACACTTCCTGTTTGATTAAAAATTGTTCTAGATCATTCCAAAGGATGCCAAATGTTAAAAAAAAGTAAAAATTTATGTATATTGAGTTTTAACGAACGCTATATATACATATAATTTATGTTATATTTCGCGTATAATGTTTTATTTATTTATTTATTTATTTATTATTATTAAACAAAAACATTCTCATCGCGTTTCATTAATAAAAAAAAAATAATTTTAAATTCTCATTAATTAATTAATTAATTAATTAATTCAAATCGTAAATCAAACTTTGTAATATATAAAAAAAAAAAAACCGTTATTAATCACTTTTATTAATATTCTGTAAGTATATATTATTACGTAATAACAATGATGATAATTAGGCAATTAGCTTTCTTGTTAGTCACATAGCCATTCAACAAAATAGTACAGAATTTTTTTTTTTTTTTTTTTTTTCTTGTGAATGTCAAAAAAACCCAACACGAGAATTTTATTAATTATTTCGCATTTAAAAAAAAAAAAAAAAACAAAAAAAAAAACAAAAACAAAACAAAAACAAAACAAAAAAACCTAAAAAAAAAAAAATTATCCTCCCCGGCGGGGAATCGAACCCCGGTCTCCCGCGTGACAGGCGGGGATACTGACCACTATACTACCGAGGATTACATTCACTCTCGCATTTTTTTTCATACATCAAGACAAACAACAAACAACAACACGATCTAATCGCACGCAAGTTTTTTTTTTTATTTATATAAACTCACAGCTGTTTGAGATTTGGTATCGCATTCTCTTGATTTTATTTCTTTCAAACCGTGTTTTCCTATTATATCCACAAGCTACATCAAATTAAAAATAAAAACAAAAACAAAAAATAATAATAATAATAATAATGAGAGAGAAAAAAAATAAATATAAATAAATTAAAACGCGATGTATACAAAAAAAAAAAAAAAAAAAAAACTCCAAAAAAAAAAATTTATGTTTATGTTAAATAATTGATCCTAAATCCTAAATCCTAAACCAAAAAGAAAATTTTTTTTTTTTTTTTTTTTACACAAAACGACAAAATCAAATTATAAATAACTAATGGCTACATTCATTTAAAAAGAATTATGTTTATAAAAATTTTTAATAACGTTAAAATACGTTAACCAATTAACAAAATAACGCGTTTAATTAATTAAAAAATTTAACGGGTATACAACAAATCCTCGTTAATTTCTTTTAAATCGTCCTTCCCTTCACACGATTACAAAAATTATTTATAAATATTATAAATGGCGTTTTTTTTTCACTTCGTGATTCGAATTTATTAATAATAATAATAATAATAATAATAATAATAGTATTGATAAATAAATTAAAACTTACCACAAGAAATTCATTTTTATCAACTCTTTCGTTTCCATCCGTATCAAACATGTTGAATGCAATTCTAAAACCCGATTGCGGTTCTTAAATAATAATAAATTACCATCATCATCATCATCATCATCATCGTTACTACACATAAAAACAAACAAACAAACAAACAAACAAACTTACTAGTCAATATCGATAGAAGAAATAAATATTCCGTGTATGATATTATACCCTTATCACGAAGTTTTCTAAACATTTCAGAATTACCATTTTTTAATGGCGGAGTATCATCTTTTATTTTTTCAATTTCTTTATCCGTTAAATACCTTCTTTTGAGACGAGCTTTAAAAAGTAATAATAATAATGATAATAATTTGTGCATGTGTGTGTGATTATAATAATTAATTTTAAATACTCACGTCTAGGTTCTTGTTCTACAACGGATTCTAGAAAATCTTGTGGAGTCATATAAAGTTGTCCATCGTATTCGACAGATGCAAATTTAATAAAACGTCTTTCTCGAGATGTTAATTTAACAGCACCAACGTAATCGTCATCTTTCTGTGTGTATAAACAAAAAAAAAAAATGATTTTCAAAATGGCGGAAAATTTTATTTATTAGGTAGGCGAAGAAACTTGGATAGGGTTTGAACCTTTTGGATCAATTCCGTAAAATTCATTTTAAAATTTCTACATGTATATGCACCGAATATTAATAATTAATTACATTTTATCCTTTTCTATCTCATTTCCCCACCCCCACCCCCTCTCTTTCTCTCTCTTTAATAAAAATTCTAATCAGAACAAACAAAAAAACAAACTAACTCACCCTTTGGTATAATTTTTTTTTTTTTTTTTGCTTAAAAAAATAGGTGACAAGTTAAAAATTTATCAAGATCATCATCATCCCTTATTTTATCATATGGGGTTTAATAATAAATTCAAGGGGTTAACTACACAAAATAAAAACACGAATCAACCGTGTAATAAAATGGTGATATTATCAAAAAAAAAAAAAAAAAAAATAGTCAACCTCTAGAGAAGCCTCCATAACTTGGTGCCTTCCGTCAAAAATGAGGACAAAATCGGCGTCGGCTTCCTATGTAAATGAATTTACTGATTTATTACTACCAATAATAATTTTTTTTATATATAAAGTTTACGTAATAGTAATAATAATAATAATTAACTTTTCATTTACGCAATTTTTATTATTATTATTATTATTATACGATGTCGATAATTAGAGAGAGACCGAATCGATTGATGGATTTTTAAAAAAAAAATTTTGACGTTTTTTTTTTTTTTTAAATTTTTTAAAAAAAGGGTTATTATTATTATTATTATTATTATTATTATTATTATTAATACATAAATTTTTTTAATATTGGGTGATTGATATAATATTATTGATAATAATAATAATAATAGTTTTTTTTTTCCAGGTTAAAAATGTAGCACGGATTTTTTTTTGTTTTCTCTAACGGTCCATCATCATCATCATCATCTATTTTTAATAATAATTATAATAATAATAATGATAATAGAAAAATGTTAAAAAATTCAAAGACAAAAGGGGGTAAAGTAAATAAGAAAAACAACATCAAAATTTTTATTAACGACAAAAAAAAATATTTTTAAACCGGATGATGATCAAATGTGATGCTGTGAAGGATGATGATGATGATGATGATGATGATTAGGCGCCTAAATGTCGAAAAAAAAAAAAAAAAAATTTCAATAACTATATCCTACTCTCGTATAATTTCTCCCACAGATAATATCGCTAATACATTTTCTATTAATTCATTTAAATATGTGTCTTTATGATTATCCTTGTTGAAGTCTTTATTACAATATCAACAACAACAAGAAAGAAAACGATTACCATAAGATAGAGAAAACACATATACGAGAAGAAAGAGAGAGAGAGAGAGAGTGAATACAAAACGTAAAAATATAAAGATTATAAAATTATTATGTTATTAACTATGCTTTCCAGCTATCTTAAAAATATACATAATGTTATTATTATTATTATTATGAAAACTGGAAAAAAAAAAAAAAAAAACATTTTATCTGTATTATGGTTAAACTAACTAAAAGGCATTTAAAACTGGTGTTAATTGATTGGGGGGAGGGAGGTAGTGGTAAGGGGAGGTGGGAGTGGTAAGGGGGTTCAATAATATCAGTTTCCCGTCTCTTTCGAAAACAACGTTTTTTTTTTTTAAAAAAAAAAAAAAAAAGTCAATGACTCATCAACTAACTAACTAACTTAATACCAGCCGCCACCTTTTTTCTTCCATCCAGGCACCAACAACAACAAATTATTATTATTATTTTAAATTATTTATTTACTGGAAAACTTTTTTTTTTTTTACAAGAGTAAGAGGAAATTTATTTAATAATTATTTGAAAAAAAATAATCTATATTTACATAATGGCGGTAAATATTTGGCCACTAATCAAGTTGTTATACGGTGACACCAAGGTTAAAAATATATATTTATATAAATAAATAAATAAATATAAGTAGATGGCAATAAAACAACAACAACAGCAACAACAGAATTTTAATTTAAAAAAAATTTTTTTTACCTTTACAAAACCCCCGTTTTCCCCGGGGGGGGCAAACGTTAAATAATTTAAATCCACCCCCCCCCCCCCCTAGGGTTAAATATGGGAGGTAAGTAAAACACTTTTTTTTGTTAAATCCTTAAAAGGGTACTGCTTAAGACAAAAAAATTTTTTTTTTTTTTCTGGTTCTTTCGCCAAGAAAAAAAAAAATTGGTGGGGGTAAAAAAAAAAAAAAAAATCCTGGGATTTTTTTTGGACCAAAAAAAAAAAAAAAAAAAAAAAAAAAAAAAAAAAAAAAAAACAAGAGTCACACATCAATTAATCATTTCAGATATATATGATTCTAAGGGATGAACAAACACCCTACAAACAAACAATGAATTTAAAAAAATAACAACAACAAACGAGATTTATTATGTTTGATTAACCGTGAGTAGTAAAATTTAGTATAATATATATTTTATATGGAAAATGGTATGGCGGTGGCGGTGGCGTCGTCGTAAGGTGGTCGATATTTTAGCAGGATGCCACTACATATATTCTTCTTAAGTGTAATAAATCTTTTCATTAACTACACACACACACACACACACAAACTTTGACCTCTTTCTCGGTAGTTATTATATTATGAGGATTTTTTTTATGGTCACCTGATACATAACATTTTGCGTTTATATTAAAAATATCGACCCCTTTGATTTTAAGTTCTTGACCCAGGTCAACATAAAAATAATTTTTTTTTTTCAAAATGAAAATTATGTCATAATGCTTCCTATCTCTCTCTCTCTCTCTCTCTCTCTCTCTCTTTCTTTTGTTATTGATTTCAAATTTCGATTCGTTTTGCAGAAATCTGAGTATGTCATCTTGTGTCGTGTCATGTCGTGATACGTGAAGGAAAACACGAACTTGATTTAGACACGCGAGTCATTTGAATATACTAGTTTCTATATTGTAAAACAATATCAGCCACCTTATCATTTCAAGTCAAAACTTTTCTGTCCCGTCATTATATACAAATTTAATTTCTTTCTTTTTTTATTTTGTAACTTGAAGTCATTTTTTTTTTTTTTTTTGTTTAAGGTGTCAAACGGCAACATTTGCAAAAACCTAGGTATAACACGTGTCTACATCATTCAAACATTATTATTATTAAAAATTTTGATAAAATAATTTTACGTGCATGGTTTTGCATTTTACCCTTGGTGTTTATTCAACACCTTATTTAATTCTGACTCAGTTATATAATAATAATAATAAAACATCAGCATAGTCATCGTCCATACCCGCGTATAATACTATCAAATAGTTTTTTCCTATCGAACTTATTAGTATGATTAACGATAGGAAAGAGAGAGAAAGAGAGAGATAGAGAGAGAAAATTAAGGGTTTTTTTTTGAAAAGGGGTTGAAAATTTATTTTAATATTTAATAAACTCAAATTCTTATGTAAAAACCCGAAAAAGACACGCAAGGGATTGATCATCCACCACCACCACAATGTTTTGCCACGGGGGAAACCTGTTAAAATATTATTATTATCATCAACGTTTTTAAAGTCATCCTTTTTTTCCCGCCCTCGTTTTTTTTTTTTTAACAATCTCAGGTTCGCTCCACGGTCGCGACTATCAATCCTCGAAAAATTAGATAAACCGTCGTTTAGATAAAAGCACACGGCAATGTAATTATTTAGAACAGGTATTTTGTTACCAGAGCCGCACCCCCTTACTCTAAACAAACCATATATATTTTTACCACACCCCGATCTAAGCTACTACCTCTCATTAGCATAAAAAAAATCAAAAGATAAATGGGATTTACATTTTTTTACAATTTGTCTCTCTCTCTCTCTCTCTTCCTTCCTCCCCCTCTATTCCACAGGATCATTATGGCAGAAATACAAAAGGAAAAAATAAACTCACTGTTTGTTTCTCCTGTGTTTAAAGGGGGGGTAAACTCACTACCGAAAAAAAACTAAAAAACGCCCACAAAAGAGGATGACGAACTCGTAGGAGGGAAGTGAGGTGGTAGAGTAGGAGAGAGGGGGGAAAGAAAACGATATTAAAAAATAAAATGAGATCATTTTTAAATAACGCACTAAATCAAAATCAAATTTAAAAGAAAATAACCTTTATTAAAAGAGAATAGAAAAGATGATAGTAATAAAGATATCGAGAAAAGAAAAAACTTTGATATAAAGTGGTCTTGCTCGGGGGGGTGTACGCTAATGAAGGGTTGATTAAAGGGTAGTTGTTCCGCTCGACGTGGGAGAATTTTTTAAATAAAAATAGCCTTCAATAAAAAAAAATTCTTTTTTCAAATTCGTTTTGTTTATTTTCAACTGGAGGCTTTTACCAAAAACTTTTTTGATAACATTTGCCATAGTTACAGGTATTAAGGTATGAAATTGCCATGATTGTATTACATTACTACTTATTACAGATCATAAAATTAACTCAAATTGAAGACAAAAAGTGTGAATATTATACTTGATTAATAAATGGCATAACGAATGATTTATCTTCGTAGCACGTGGAAAGTGTAAAAAATTATTAAAACAACAACAACAATAACGAAGAGAGATATATCCAATCAAAAAAAAGGGGCCACATTCCATGAGGCAGGAGGAGTTTTATATACACATGGAGAACCCACAGGGGAGAAGGTGTCGAGACTGAATGACCAGACTAAGATTTTTTTTTGATAAGAAACTGGCTGCCATAGTAATACCAGAAAAGGGAATCACTCCATATCTTTATTTAATTATAATCTCAAAACAAAATGAAAAGAATTTTATAGAACAATGTGCTATATTACTCCTTGAGGAAATGAGAAAATTTTTAACACTTGGCGTTAAATTAATTAATACTAAAAATATACACAATTTTCAACTTCCGGTTTAATTTTTTTTTCTTTTTTTTTTTTTTCTCAGTCATTAACCTTTGCAATTTTGATTTTTTTTTTCCCTTCCTTTTCTTTTCTTTCATTTCCACCAAATTAAATTAACTGAATTAAAATCAATTTAAAATTAAAACATGTCCACATTTATTTATTTATTTATTGTTTTTTTTTTCTAACTTGTGAAATCGAGTCCATTAATTATGTTA